TAGAAGGTGCCAAATCCGAGGCCTGGGAGAGTGGATATGTTGGTTGGTGCTTGTTGAGAAATTTGTAAACCTTCGGAATCTAGTTGTACGAGGGTTTGCTTGGCCTCCATTATGTGCATCTGTCAAAGACCTTCCTACATCAGCCAATGAGCTTCCTAGTTGGTGATTTTGTGCCCAGGAGGAGAAGCTGGAGATCCAGCAGAAGGAGCTTCTGGGGGTGCAGGAGAAGTGTTCCAGCCTCATGGATAAGCTGCCTGCACTTCCTGATGAGAAGAAGGAACGTGGCAAAGAGACCCCGGGCTTACACATTGTATTTGTAGTTACCACTGTGTGGAAGTATGTGGCAGCCCGATGCAGATACTTAATTGGGGGGCTTAGGTTCTTAAGTTTATTTGGCTAAGGCTTCGAGCCAAGCTGGATAACATGTCCAAGACGGCTGAAAAGCTTTATGAGAAAATGGCGGAGAGCCTGGCCAAGCTCCACACCAAGGAGTTGGATATCAAAACCACCGAGCGCCTAGTCTAAAAATAGCTATAGTTATCAAGCCCTCGCACCCTGCCCGTGTAAACAAAGATCTGTGGATTCTGCTCAGGGGCTCCAAGATCGTTTTGGATCTTACAACCGAAGGCAGGAAATTGCCTGGACCTTGGAGTGATAATCACCTAGCTTGCCCAGTTCCAAAGACACTTCCCCAACCTCAGAAAACATTCCTACGAACCCAGAAGCCCCTCCGAACTTCTTGGTGAGGTGCAGCATGTGGACGGGTCTCGAGCGCACCTGCCGGCCACTGCCTCAGGAACTCATTTTGGAATGCTTGAGCAACAGATACCATGTGAAACTGCTGGGCATGGGTGAGGATCCAAGATGTGCAGTCGGCTAAATTACTCAACTACCTGTTTGCATCAGAACTATGAGGGCTGCTACTGTTTGACCAGGCCGCTCTTTCGGAAGCCGGCCAAGAAGAAGGAGGAGCTGGAGGATGACAAGTAGGGCTCAGGAGTTACAAACGGGGTTTCAATGAAACACAGAATGTGTTGGGGATATCTACAATTTGCTTTGAACCTGTCGTGTACAGCTACACGGTGGGAATGTCTCAGATGTGCAAGACCGAAGCCTCATATGTTCTCGATCGGTCTTTCTGCAGCAATACTTGCTGCTGTGGATGTGCCCTGGGCAACTGCAATCTGATGGGTGCCTCCTGCAGAAGAAATTACCTGTGCACTTCTGTCTTCTGTCGCATATGCATGCACAATGCTGCTGGGATGTCTTGAACAATTCAGCTTGTAGCTGACTTTAGCTACATAATGACAAAATGCCAGGTCCATCGAATACGACAGAGACTGAGACGGCCAAGTTCATGGCCGATGCCATCGGCAGTGGTGTGCTTGACCCAGCTTATAGGCTTCCGGAATTGCTGCATTTCTGCCCAGTCTGATTTTGTGGAGTTTTTGCTGCACATCCTGTCTCATGACTCTGTCTCAAGCTTTTGCTACCGCTGGGGCATGACACAGCCTGAGGAGTGGCTAGAAGAGTTGCTAGGGTTCTGTGAAGATGGCAGTCGCAAGTCGAGTGCGCCATGTCCCCTGTGCATTCCCGAAACTGAAGGCCTGCAGGGGTTGCCCTTCTACAGTCTCCATGTATGTCTGTGTGTGTGTGTGAAATCGATAGAGGCCCTTGTAGACTGTGCTTTCCTAGCTGTGACTGCCTGGAAAGGACCCGGCGATGACCCCTTCGATGAACCACCTGCTCTTGTTGAACAACAAGAAAGTGATCAGGACAGCCGCTGGGAGCAGCAAATTGTTATGGGATTACTTTGTGCAAGGTCCTTTCAGGTTTCAACTAGCCAGGTAGCAAGGGTTATGTTGGAAAACGTAGCAAGGGTTCAAACCACCTGAACGGCTCCATTCCCAAACTAGGAAGTGCGACCCTGAAACAAAAATAGCCTGCAACAATCCAGATATAATGCTGTTCCACTCTGGGTGCACGAGCCGGTCTTTCTTGCCCAGGGCATGCAGTGTGTGAACCTGTCCGGGTATGCAGCTTTGATGGGCTTCGGGTTTGGGGTCTAAGGTTTTGCTTTGTATGGTGTACAACTAGAACGATATAAGCTTTCTTGGGTCTTCTTGGTATCTATGCTTAACAACCCATATGATCCCATTAAAGCAAGCTAGCACGACTCATGCAGATGACAACTGCACTTTGTATAGTTCACCTTGCTGCAACCACTTTGAACAAACTCGAACCCTTCTCACAACCAGGTTGCAAGCAGCTGGACATGTTCAAACCTTCGGTCCGTCATCTACCGCGACTCCGGGAGCTACTGCTCAAAGGCCTCGGCAATGATGATCGTGTGAAGCTTTGCCTGCCACGACCTTTGCTGAGTGCAGGCAAAGCTCTGCTCTCCATTAGGGAAAGGGTTGCTAGTATCCTTCGTTTGGGGCCCACTGTCTTTAAGATCGGCCTTACTGGTGATCCTATGTTCCGCTTTTACAAAGTGCCCTCGAAGACAAACTCATCAGCAGGCTATCGTTATGATACAGACCAGTTTGCAGAAATGCAAGTACTGTATGCAGGGGCCACGTGGGATGAAGCTTCTTTAATGGAGGCTGTGCTAATTGCTGAGTTTCAGGGCCGGCCTGGCAATCGCAATATCAATCCTGGGGGTGAGGGGCGGCAAGTGTATGACCCGCCATACTTCACATACATTGTGTTCAAGTCGGCCCTGGTTGCACCGAAGCGACAGCGCATGTATGCTCAGGGGAAAGAGAGGGCTGGGACAGTGATGCACTAAACTGTGAGCTTGATGCAGGCAGTCTTGCTGGCATGATCCGTCCTCACAACCAATCCCCAATCCAATTCTATAGCCAGCATTCCATTACTTACATAAGTAGGACCTACCACCCCTCCCACTGAGGTGCCCTGCTCCAAGATGGTGGGTCTGGCGAAGGCACTGACGGCAGACGGCTTCGTGGCCTCAGGCAAAGGCTTCATCCATCAGATGTCAAA